ACACAACATCTTTGTTGGTATGTGGTGCTGAGGATCGAACCCAGGCCGCACGCATGCCAGGCGAGCGCGCTACCGCTTGAGCCACATCCCCAGCCCCCACCCATGACTTTTCAGTAGGGTTAATTTCCATTGTGACTTCCTAACTCAGCTTTCTTAGGGAAATCTCACACTGTCAAATATCACTAAATATATTCAGATATTGCATACATACACATATGCATATATGCATATATGTATACATACATATAACCAACAACTTAGTCTCCCAAATATTCATATGAAACTTAGCCTAAGTACCAGCAATACCAGTATTAAGTATCATAAAAGATTAAAAAGTGAGCTCCCTGTCCTAAGCAGAGTTCAGGGAGAAGCTGGATGAGTATCTGACAGGGGGAAAGGAATAGGCATGAGAATTATGCTCAGGCCCCTTTCATCTTTTCAAGATTTCATGATTTGATAATAATCACAAAACAACAATTACCACCCCTACCAGTTATCAAGAACCTTCACGTGCCATGCACCATGCTACACGTATCCCAATTTGATTCATTTCATCGTCAACGAAAGACTTCAGCAAAGTCTCATTATGCCCACTTATGCAGAAGAAGCCTCAAAGGTCAGATAACTTTTGCAAAGACATACAGCTAATGAATGGCACAGCAGGTTTCAAACCCTGATAAGAAGGCAAAGTTCATGTTCTTTTCCCTTTGCTATGCCTCTGCCCTACAGACATATAAAAAGACTGGGAAAAGCACATACCAGAGAAAGTAGCACTGCTCCAGGAGCACAGATTAAAGAGGCCACAAATACTGAAGGGACCTTAATGGGCTACATAGTGGGAGTGACATTTGAACTGAAGCTTGAAGGTGAATGAGTAGAAGGTACTTACATGGCAGGTGGGTGGTGCAGATAACTCCATGAAGAGGACATGGTAGGAAAAGGGGAGTGGAAACATGAAAATGGCTGGGATGTCCAGCAATCCACAGCAATCCACTTGCAGATAAACACATGAGTAGGGATAGCAAGAAGAAAATGCTGGAAGGGTCAGCCAGCCCCTTGAAGTCAAGAGGAATCTTGGGTTCTCTCCTACAGATGTTAGAGAGCCAGGAGTGGTTCTAAGTGGGAGGTGACATGGACACATGTGGCATTGAAGCCAGCTCTCCAGGAACCTTCCATAGGGCATGTGACAACCACAGGACAAATGATAACAAGGCCTCCACAAGAGGACTCCAGCTAAAAAGCCAAACAAAGAGCACAGACAAAATCAGAAAAGGCAAAACACAGTCTCAACATGAACCCGCATCTTCCAGCTACAAGAGTATGACTTCTTGCTTTGATCTCCATGAAGCCAGCCTGTACCCTTGATCCATTTTTCACAACTTGGCAGTGACATCAGCAAGAAAGTCTTTGAGAGGAAAATTCTGAAGACACATTTAGGACATCGAAAGTAGCACCAGGCACAGCAGCCCCTCCTTGCCACAGCAGCCCCTCCTTGCTCACCAGATGTGAGCCAGCCCCATAAGGGATTGACTGTCCATAGAGACTGCTCTTTCCTGCTGACTTCCTTCTAGGCAAGGGGCCTGTGCAGTAACACTATCACACAACTTTTCCCTCTGATGTCTTCTCTGTAGCCTGAAGTGCCCCGTATGTTTCCCACTCTGTCTGGATTCTTCAGATGCTCCATAGATTTTCATGTAATCCTTCTGATGAAGTTTCACTAGAAAAACAAAGGACCTGGGGAAGTACTGATGAGCCCTTCACCCAGGATACAATCCTTCTCTTCTCTGGCCATGGCCAGGTTGGGCCTGGTGACTCCTGGATCCACTTCTAGTTCTCACTTTCTCTGATTTGAATGCCACAGTCTGACCTGAGATAGCTGGGGTTTTCCTGAGACCAAAAATACTATTGGAAAACCTGGATCTGATCCCACCAGGATAGATATGACAGTCGGAAACAGAACTCAAGTTAGAAAATCTGTCGTGTACCTTACACCTCTGAATAGTGACAAGTCAGGACTGGCATATAACTAAATCAGATCCAAGGTGGCTGTCTCATGGGGGATTATAATGTGGTCACTTGAAGAAAAGGAGATGATCCATTCTCTTAATCTTTAGGCTTCAGATTATTGTGGCTCTGGTATCTTTTCCACCATGTGGAGAGAATATACTAGAAAAAAAAATGACATCAACAGAGAAAAGAGCTAGAGGAAACAAAGAAAATAAAATGTGAAAAGATCTTTTGAGCCCCTTGACCCAACCCTGCCTGAAGTCAGAGATACCCATAGTCTTTGAAGTTACATGAATCAAAAAAAAAAAAAAATGCTCCCTCCACCATTTTTTTTACTTAAACTAATTTGAGTTGGATTTCTGTCATTGATAAAGAATCCTGATTCATATAACTCCTCCCATAAACAATTGTCAAGACTGAAAATAGACCAGTGTCTCATTGGAGGCACTCAGAAAATAGATCCTCCCCAGGCTCATTCTTCCAACAAGATACCAGAGGATTGTACAGGGATCTTGGAGAGAGCAAAGCAAGAGCTTTTATTATTTTGATGCATAGATTAATGATCTTGTATCTTGATAATGATATATCAAGTCATCACCATAGCATATGCACAAGCCCTTCAAAACAAAACTGAAGTAAATGAGACACCAACTATTTTTATTATTCCTAGTTTAGAAACAAAGTGGCCAAGGTCTAAGAGGTCCCCAGCTTCCCTCTCACTGCCCCCTTATCCTCTAGCTAACAGCAAGGCAGCATGACTGTGTGAGATTCCTCCAGCCCCTGTGGCCACTCTGCCTCTCAGAACACACTGCCAACCCAGCAGAATTAACTTGGCTGCACTAATGAAATTGAAATTTTTGAACATGTAAAACTGCTGATGCTATAGTCAGCCAAATTCTGACCCAAATGTACATAAATCAGCGAGTGGTTCCTCCTATCACTGTAAAGCAAATCTGAATAAGGAAACCTCAGAGCTGGAAGGGATCTCAGCCATCCTGTCACCCCAGCTCCTAGTTGTTCTGATGAGGAATGGATAGCCCAATCAGGTTAAATAACTGCACAAGTGTGCATCAGAGCTAGACCTGGAAACCATGGTGCCAGCTTGCCTGCCCAGTGCTCCATGATCAAGAATGCCTCTATTTCTACCTAAGATTTAGGCTCAGTGGTTTGCTCATAAATAAGAAGAAGGAATGCCCACCCAAAGCATAGGCTGTTAGTAAAGGCTTCCTAGAGGAGGGGGTTCTTCTGGGAATTAGTGAAATACACAAGAGAGGGGCCAGGGAAGTGGAAAACTGCCTGGTCCCTGGGCAGCAACACAGGTGACAGCAAAGAACATGCTGTGATGGGTGCCAGGGGATCAAGGGAAGAACACAAGGCTGAGAATGGACATGCAGACAGGAGGGTCTAGGTTGCCACATTAAAGCTTAGGGCTTTTCATGCTCTTGTCAATGGGGAAGCATTAGAATCTGTTGGGCAAGTGTATAATGGATGCAAGGGGCCATATAGGGAAAGGAAGTATGAACTTTAACAGCATAAAAGTGTCCACTTTCACCAGGATTTTGATTTGCAAAGAAAGGTAGAAAGGGTTTTCAAATATTGCTTTTGCAAGTTCACTAGAGGTGAAGATTTGAAGATCTGTCTCTATATCTGGCGAAGAAAGATACCATAATGAATTCAATGCTGGAACCTTTTGAAATTCATTCATTTGTCTAACAACTATTTGCTGAGGGCTTGCCATGTGCCGTGCATTCTGTGATACTAGGTATGCAATGGCCAATAGAAATGCTCCAGTCTCTCTACCATAGAGCTTCAACATAACTGGAGAACTAGACAGTAAGCAGATTTTAAAACAACACCTATATCATTGTAAAGTAAAAGGTGCTATTAGGAAAAGAAACAGAGTGCAATACAAAGAATCATGGAGATGGGACCTATTTACAAATAGGGTAATATTTCAACTATTTGTTGCTGTGTAATGAACCATTTCCCAAATTTTGGTGACTTAAAACAACCATTTTTTCTTTCATACTTCTGTACGTTGACCGTTCTGCTGTTCTTATTTGGGGATTCTCAAGACACGGCAACTGGAACTAGAATATACCTCATATACCTAATAATATGGTTTCACTCCCATGTCGGGTACCTTGGCAGAGACAGCTGGGATGTTGGGACTTCCCTCTGCACGTGATTTCTCCATGTGGTCTCACCCTTCATGGGTACTAGATTGCCAGAGCAAATGTTCCAGAGAGAGGAGGCAGAAGACACCAGTCCTCTTAACGGCAGACTCAGAGCTGGCACGCATCCCTTCTGCTGCATTGGGTTGGCTAAAGCAATCACAGGGCTAGTTCTGATTCAATGGAAGGAGACACACACCCCATCTCTCAATGCAGGAATAGGAGGAGAGGAGCGACAGATTTTGCAGCCCTCTCTAATTTACCCAGGTCCAAGGAGGGCTTCCATGAGCACGTAACACCTGAACCAGGACTTGGAGGAGTTGACCAGGTAACAAGTAGGAAGAAAATACATCTGACAAGAGAGACCAACACTATGAAGATCCTGAAGCAGGAAGGAGCTTGGGTTCAAGGGAATGCTAGGAGATAAGTTATGGGGGGAGCCATGTGGCAAGGGGAGAGGGGCCAAGGAGGCAGTGGTTGGAGACCAGAATAGAACCTTGAGAGCAGATTTAAGGTCCCATTCACCTGTCATCTCCTAGAGAACCGAGATCATGAATGCCCTGACCGTCACTGTTCTCCTGCCACAACAGAACAAGTGATCACCAGCCCATTGGGCCTCTCTGAGAAGGTCTGTGAAGTTTATTTCATTTCAGGTTCAAGGGTCCATACAGGGAAAAGCAGTACACACTTTACAGCACTAAAGTGCCCACTTTCAATTACCTGGCAGAGTACAATGCTTCCCTTCACCCTCCAGAGAAGTGAAATGTTACTCTGTGTGTGAGTCAGCACCCAGGTGAGTGAAGGATATTAACTACTCCTGATAATGTTTTCCAAGTTGTCCCTGGGGACATCTAGATGGTCCTTTCTAGTCCCTGTGATTCTCAGAAATGAAAGGACTTTGAAGACCCAGGAGAATAAAAGAATAATGGTCTCTAAGAATCCCTTCCACCCACATGCTTTTAACAGATCCATGCTAATAAAAAAAAAAGACCCCGAAGCTACCTTGAATCAGCCCATAATCCTTCCCACATATAAGCTGACAGATCTAGCAGAAGTTGATACATGCTGTATTTCCACTTCTGAGATAAAAACGGGCTCCTGGAAGCAGGGAGTGAGACTTGATCTATGGAGAGGAATAAAATTTAAAGAACACAATGCAAAAGTAATTAGCATGCAAAGAAATCTTGGCAAAAGACTCTCAAGCTGCTCACATGCCCTCATACCACCAGGGGATTCAGCGGCTACATGACTCCCCCCACGGCCTTGGCTAGATGTAAGGAAAGAAATGAAAAGTATTCTCAATGAGATTTAGGAAGCACTTGCAAACTTTAACCAAAGCATGGAAGGGCTAGAGTGCTGAGCCCTTGAAAAGAGCTCCCATCAAGTCAATTAAGACCCTGTCAGAAATCACTCTCCTCTCATTATGGGCAAAGCAAACAGAGCCTTTGGAATCAATGAGTCTCTAAATAAGAAAGGTTTCATTTAATACTTCCCCTCCCCTTCCCCGGTACAAAGAGCATTTGGGAGAAGGAGTCCCGCCTCACTCCTTCAAATAACAGCCAAAGTGTCCTCTGCATTCCACATAGAAATCAGTCCCATTTGCCATGAGGGCTCCTATGGATACCGAGGTATTTCCTATAGAGTCTTATTCTCCATATGATTCGGCTCTTTGGAAACCATCCACTCTGCCAGGTCAATTCTAGGCAATTCCTAAGACTGTTCTATTCCTGGGGACTTCTGACCAATTTTCCTATTTATTTATTCATTTATTTCAAGATACATTTGTGTCTGTCAACACATGCTGACATCTTCCAACTAGCTGATTAAAGAGGAAATTTTAACACATGACCTTTCCAAACCCTGCACCTTCCACAGCAAAAATCAAACTTCGTTGAGGATGTGTTGACAAAGGGCTGTTCATTTACCACTGCTGACCTGGGGAGCCTTGATTCGATAACTATGGCTTTTAGAAACAACATTCTCATCCAACTGAAAATGTGTTTATGTCAGGCTATTGGCAGAGAGATTTACACCATTCAGTTTGTTTAGAAATGTGATTTAGCATTTCACTATTAGCCTACCTTCCACCATTACTATCTAGCCCTGGAATCCAGTACTAATAAATACATCATAAACCACTTAAAAATAAAGGGGAAAAGGCAGGAAGGAAAACCACTCCTAAGACAAGCTGTAGCATATTTTAAGGCTTAAAGATCTCTGAAAAAGGAAGCGAGTGGACTTTGACATTTTCTCTCTCTCCCACCAATTGAGCAGGTGGTTAAACTGAGAGTTTATCAGAGTTTTTTCTTCAAAGTACAGGGACTGCATGATTCTGGGCATCTTGGCAGCCGCCTCCAGCCGAGTCATTTTGTGGGGTCTGAAACACAGATCTACTGGCTGAGCCCCCTCACTTGGCAATTTTTGCAAACATTCCGGGCCAGGCTTTTCTAATCTGCAAGGTCCACCAGAGCCCCACAGCGCCGATGAGGCCCCATTTGTCCCAGCTGCTACTAACCATGGCGCCAAATCAATATCCCGTCAGACGGCACTTTCCTGGCAGCGGTCAGGATTGATAGCGTTCCTGAGGCTCTGTGACGTCGCGGGGTGTTTGCACAGCAGAGGAAAATCCCTCTTTGCACCACAGCTCTGACCTCACTCCAGCAGAGCGCGCGCTTGCCTCTCTTTAATCACCCGTGAAATGGTGCAGGGGAAAAGCAGCTAGGTGCAGAGGAGAGGCTGTGCGGAAGTAGCCCAGGGGGGTGACCAGCTGTGACTCATGCTTTTCACCTTTAAAGAGAAGGAACATTTTGGAGCAGGGATCGCATGCTGGCTCGCCTCCAAGGGACACTAAAGGGAGAGAATGCCTTTCCTGTTCTCAGCAGTGAGAGACCTTGCAATGCAGCTGAAAGAAACCGCCAATATCAATAATGCATGGGGACCAGGGGCTGACACAGTTTTCAGCTATTTGGGTAACTGAGGAGTTGTCAAATTGGCTGTAAAAGGCCATGTGTGGACAGAGCCACCGTTGTTACTCAAAGGGCAGGTTTAACCATACATGGTATCCAGAGGGCATATCCCAGTCTCTGTCCTGTCCCCTGCTACCAGGGAGTGGCAACAGTCAGAGCAGTAGCACAGTAATAATAGCTACTAATTAGTAAATTATATATGAATGACATTCTATTTATTTTTATGTACATCATACATACTACCCTTTTTGCAGGCATGATATCCCATAGAATCTTCACAATGAAACTTCAAGTAACTTGCTCAAGGCCATACAGTAAATGGCAGAACTGGATTTGAACTGAATCCTGTCATTGACCTAAAGAATAATGATATCTCTCCTAAGCAGGTATTTTGGGTGTGAGTCAAGAGGCTAAATCTGTGTGTGCTCTAACAAGCCCTCTGACCAAGGTGCTATGATTTTGCAATTACTGACCACTTCAAGCTAATTTGCTTTTGTTTTTGTTTTACAAATAAGAATGAGGAGAAAAAGTAGAGGAAACCCCTACCCCAAGGCTACAATTGCAGAAGGTGATAATGCTAAAATAAAAAGGAGCCTGTGGTTCTTGTTATGGAAACCATTTCAGTCATTCATTTGAGGGTCTACAAATAAACCATCAACCTCAGAATGCCACAGCTTAAACAGGGTGGTGCTAAAGGCCACAGCTTTCACAGGGAAGTGACAGTTTCTGCCCCCCGGGTTTCCAATGACAATAAGCTAATACTCAAGCATGCTGAGCAATGCCTGAAACCTTGGAAACAGAGTTAGGAGCCCCAGAGGAAAAACCCTATATACACATACCCAGGAAACTCCTCTTTCACCTCAATCCATTTCCTTACTTTTGCCTCAACAGCATTTTTCTTTCTTTCACTCCAAAGAAGAAAAAGACCAGCATTAAATTTTTTTCCTTGCTTGCTTCATTAAGGCAGCACAACACAGTTTCTTGATACCATTTCCTTGCCTTTTAAACCCCTTTCATTCTTTTCATCTAGTTTTCATCTCTTCCATCTTGCAAGAAATCAAAAGAAACCGTTTTCCTGGAATCATACATGGAAATGAGGTTCCAGTGAGGGCAGCTGGAATAACTGTTGCGGAGCTGAAGATAATGCAGGGAACTAAGGGTGTCCTACTGTTAACTAGGTAAATAATAATGATAGCAAAATCACAGCACTCTGGCATTTATCTCCCCCTGGGATAGCCCGTTTCACAGGCTTCCTGAGTCAGAGCCCAGAGTTATACTGAGCGCTGAGGGGCTCTGTGCTCTGATCTGGGCTCACCCTAGATTAAAGAAGCATCCCCAACACCTGTGCTTGCACTTCTCTTGCCCTGTCACCCCAGCTATCTCAGAGGGGGGTTCTATCTGCGTGGGAGAGCAAACCTCTAAATTCCAGGGACTCAGATGGCAATGACCTTGACATGCACAGGCTTCCCTCTCACATTCAGGAAGCTGAAGGGCTCAGCACCATACCAGACAAAAGCCATCTTCCGTCCTGGAATTAATTGTCACTTCAGAGTTTCCATTTCAAATCTTTGTTTTGTTTCGAGAATCCCAGAATAGCAGACCAATCTGCTCAGGGGTTTTAGAAAGGTTTTTTTTTTTTTTTTTTTTTTTTTTTATTTTTTTTTTTTTTTTTTTTTTTCTTGACATGATATTTTTTATTTTTTAATTTTTATTATTGGTTGTTCACAACATTACAAAGCTCTTGACATATCATATTTCATACATTTGATTCAAGTGGGTTATGAACTCCCATTTTTACCCCGTATACAGAATGCAGAATCACATCAGTTACATATCCACTGTTTTAAGTGTTTATAAGTCAAGGACACCCTCTGTGAATCTGATAAAAGTTTTAAAATGTATATACTATGATTTGCATATATTTGGGGGAGGCTCTTTGACCCTCCTGGAGTCCATCCAGGTCACTTCCCCCAAACTCCTATTGTGACTCAGCATTACATGTGAGTACACACGTGTGCCAGTACACATCGACAGCAAGTTTGATCTTAGCACTAAAAGAAATATTAGGAACTTAGAGAGGAAGATCACTTACAAATAGCATATTCAGTTTCTTCAAATAGGAATCATATTTAATGAGTGTGTTCTCACCAAGTTCTCTACCAGGCACATTATACACATTTTGTTTTAATCCTTTTTACAATTATATACCAAGGGCTGTGCCTTCCATATTCACCTCCATCACCAGTGCTTTTATAGCCCTGGTGTTTACCAAATATTTGCTGAACAAATTAATTTTTACTGTTTTGCAGATGAGGAAACTGAGACGGTGGGAAGTTAAATAACAGCACAGATTGGACAGAGAAGAAATGGCAGAAGTTGGATTTCAACTCAAGCCTACCTGGTTAACTTTCCCCTGTGCCTTGATTAATAGCTGATCTGATCTTCTCTAAGACTAAAAGCAAAGACAAGAACATAATAAATAACTGAATTACATGCTATGTTGGTGACCAGAGCTCTGGAGAAAAGGCAAAGTAGAATAGAAGGGCTAGGAATATATGGAGGGGAAGGAAAGGCAGTCTGCTATCCACCAGGGTGATCAGAGCTGGCCTCATGGAGAAATTAAAGTGTCAGCAAAGTCTCAAAAGAGGTGAGGGGTGAGCAGAGAGTATGCCGCGTGTGGAGAGGTGTGTCTGCTGGCTCAAAGAACAAGGTGGCTTCTGTGACAGGAGTTGGAAGAGCCTCAGGGGTAAGAACAGGAAATGAGGTTGGGTGGGGAAAGGACTGGGGAAAGATATGTGTCAGTCATTGCAAAGACTGGCTTTTACTCACGGTGAAATAGGGATTCACTGAAGATCTGGAGCAGAGCAGGGATGTGACTTGACTTGCATTTGATAAAGACTACTTTGCTGCCACATTGAAAATAGACCACGGTAAGGGCAAGGGCAAGGGCAAGAGACAGAGGACCAGGTTGAAGTCTAATCCAGTTATCCAGGTAAAGGTGGTAGTGGCTTGGCAAGGTGCCAGCTTGGGAGATAGAAAGAAGTGTATGTGGGTACGTGAGAGAAGACAGGAGAAAGGACCCCAAGGTTTCTGGCCCAAGGAGCAAAACCAACGTCTGTTAGGCTCACCCTTGCATTCTAAGAAGCTGACCCTTAGAAACCTGCTGTCTGATTCACAGGTCCTCAAAACCAACCAAAGAGAAATAACATGATGTGCTACAGTTTCCAAAGATGCTTCCTTTCTTGCATGAGAAAGATGCTTGGTGCTTACTTCCTGTAGCCCAAGAGAAAAGGAGAAGCAAGGAATTCCTTTAAAAACACATGTTTTTCACCCAGTTTCAGTTTAGTAAAGCAAGTTTTGTAAAGTGTTCCATTTGCACATCTCCTGCCTGATATCTAAGGCTGAGGGGTCTCCTGCTTTACTTGATGCTAGGTAACCCGGACCCACGCGCCTGGTTGCTAAACACTGGGAATTTCAATCAGCTTTCTAAAGCTGGGAGCTCTGAGCAGATGCTGAATTCCAGGTGACCTGTATCTGACATCATCATGGACAAGCCAGGGCTGTCCCCTCACCTGCCACAAACAACACAGGCCTAAGCTGCCAGGTAAATGTCCAGCCATCAGCTCTGAATACAATCAAGTGTGAATCTGGAGCTTCCTTCCAGATCCTGCTGCTTGGCCTTCCAGGACAACAGTCTGCAGGGGATAAAAGACACTGCTGAAGGTTTACAGACAGGAACCTCCCACTTACTTGGTTTGAGGTCTTGCTTTTTAAATGCTGAAACAAACAAACAAACAAACCAAAGCCAAGATGATACAAAAACAATATTTTTGTAACAAAAAAATTGTATTGCACATCTACTATGTGCAAGCCACTGTGTTGAGTGTTTTTTAAAAAAGTGTCTCTACTTTCTTTCTTTTCTTTTCTTTCTTTTTTTTGAGAAGGAACATTTAGAGAGGCTAAGCAATTTGCCTAAAGTGATATACTAGTCAATACAGATGTGTGACTTCAAAGTACAATTGTCTCTAGGATGACCAACTATCCTCTCTGCCCAGATCTGGGAAGTTTTGGGCAAACAAGGACTGGATGGTCATCTGTATTACTGAATCTTTAAACTGAGGTATGCATATAGGAAATGTACTTACTTCAAGCATACATAGGAGATTATGCAGAATAATGACCCAGAGGGCTCATCTTCCAGAAAAGCAAGCTCTTTTCCCACCCAGTAACAGCCATTCTTCTGCAATCGCAAGAGTGCTGCAGGACATTAATCCTCAACTTCCCACACCAGGATCATTTCTTCCAGCTGATGCTCTGCAGCAAGCTTGCCAGTTGTGAGTGTTCCCAAAATTCAGTTCCCTTTTGCATCTGTTTGCTACAAAATGTTAACAGCATCCCTTGCTCTGGTCATTATAATTTACTCCTCTGTCTGATTTACCCCAGCAGTTTGGCCGCATAGGTTGCTGAGGGGACGCCAGTGAATTCAGCAGCTTGGGATAGGATCCAGCTGCTTAGAAAGGTAGTGTTACTTGCACCATTTGCTAGGGCTTCCCCACTCATTCATTCCACAAACATTTAAGTCATATAGTCTCATGAGCCTGTCAACTGGCTTAGGATTCCCTATCTTTAAGGAGTCTCACTGGTGTTAGTGCCCTGATGGCCAAGGATTTGGGAGAAAACATAGATGACGTGCTCCTCCTCTTTATCATCTAGTGACTTGATCAAAGAAACTAGGAGCAGAAAATAAGCAAACAATACTCATGGGTGCCATGGGGTTTGAACAGCCCACCCAGCTGTGCCAGCTGAGAGGCCCTTGACTTTAGGTCATGTGCTCTGGATCACAGCTGGCAGGGTGGTCCCAGGTGCCGGACAAGTCCCTCTGTATATCTCTATTCACAGGCTGTGTGCACAGGAAGGCACAATGTTCTGACTCTCCTCTTGATCCTAGGGACCATGCTGAAATGGAAGGGAGGGTTGGAGATGTCACAGTGACCAGAACATAGATGGAAAGGGCTCTTCCTCCTCTAGCATGGATAAAAACCCCTACCTCCCCACCACACTGTCTCTCTCTTGCTCATGTGAGTGTCCCCACTCAGTGGTGTGCTGATAAATGTTTAATAACCAGCTCTGGGAGGGAGGATGGGGAGAAGCCTTGATATGCAGCATTTGTTGATTCCCGATGTGTAAAGACCCCTCCACGGTCAATTCCAAGTTTCCCACCTGATGTCACTAAACACAGAGTTGGAAAGAGATACTAAGAATTGCCTCTTGGGAGCACTCCCAGCATACCACCATTCAAATCCCCACACTCTTGAATTTCTCCCTTATCTGCCTTTAGTCACATTCTCGTGCAATTCTTGAACAAATTCTTGTTGTAAGAACTGGAGGGAAGCATAGGGCATTTTCCTTAACTATAGCAGCAAGTGTGTGAATTTTTATTTCAAAAAGTCAAATAATTTTTTCTTCTATTGTTAAACAAGTTTGCACGCAGTATTTCAGAGCAACTTTTAAAAAAAAAAAGTGTGAAAGAGAGGAAGCCACTGTTATTAAATAGATAAGGACACAGGCTCAGAGAGGCTCAAGGACCACCAACTGAATGACTAAACCTGAGTCCAAGCCCTATTTACTATTTTTTTTTTCATTTGCTTATGTATCCTTGATCCTTCTCCCTATAAAAGAGCCATACAGTTCTGCCTCCAAGGACTGACAGTTCTAAATCATTTAGTGGCTTCCTGTCACTCCCAGGGTCAGGTCCCAGAGCACAGCATGGCACAGAGCCCACCGTTTCCCTAACACCACCTTCTCTCCAGCTAATCTCATTTTCCACCTCTCCTTCCCAGCCCTACAACCTTGTCTAACCTCCAGCCACATCACGTGGAGTTTCCTTAAAAATGACACAGCTCTGGACTCAAGAGCTGTCACCACGATTTGGGACACCCTTCCTTTACACCCATCCCCCATCTCCAGCTAGAATCCACACCTCTTTCTACTAATTGGCCTTAAGGTAGTCTTCCTTTATCTTTGGTTTCACTTCCTGCCTGGTTACCTGCAACTAACCGTAGTCTGAAAATACTAAATGGAAAATTCCGGAAATAAAGAATTCATTAGTTTTAAGCTGCATGCTAGTCTTGGTAGTGCAACTAAATCTTCTTCCATCCCTCCCTGTCCTACTCCAGATGCGAACCATCCCTCTGTCCAGTACATCTATGCTGTACCCACTGCCCAATTGCTGTACGGTGCAAGATGGTTTGAGAGAGACAGCATTTACACAACTTTTATCACAGAAATTGGTTATCATTGTTCTATTTTATTAGTATCACTACTAAAATATTGTTATTAGTCTCTTACTCTGCCTAATTTCTAAGTTGAACTTTTTTTATAAACATGTATGAGGAAAACACAGCATACACAGGGTTTGGTGTTATCCAAGGTTTCAGGCAACCCCTGGAGGTCTTGGATTCCCACAGACAGATAAGAAAGGATCACTGCAGGAAGGCCATCTGCCTCTCTAGACTGCCTGTAATCTTCGTGAAGGTAGGCATTGGGCAAAATTTGTCCTCTAGAACATACAGGAAATGTATAATAAATGCTTGCTGAATCATTATGTTATGTCATTAAGAAAAAAAACAATCCTGCTGCTCCAAAAGAATTTTTCCATACTCAAATTGCCTAAAGACTGAACACCTTGGAAAGGAACCAGACAGCAGTGGCTTTTCTGATGACAGGCTGGCCCTTGTCAGAGAGGAAAATAGGGTGAAGGTGGACAACTGTGTCCCCACACAGGCAGTTCTGGTGCTCCTCCATGGGAGCCCACAAAGTCCTCCCTCTTGACAAGGAGTCTGAGATGTTCCCTCTGCAAGGACCGCTCTGCCCCTCTGCTGTCACAGTACACAGCTGCAAAGGTTAAGCGGCTTGGCCAGAATCACACAGGCCATCAACTGGGTCAGAGAATGCCAAACGGGACACAGGTGCTTACTATCATAGTTCTACAGCCCACTTTGGGACTTAAACATGTGTGTGGCTTTGCTTTGTCCCTCTTCTATACCCAATATGCTGCTTCCGGCATGGATGCTCTTCACCAACTCAGTCTGCAGAACCAGAAAGCTGCTTCTAGGAAGCTTCTCTGTCTGTTTCCTGAACTTCAGAAACAGAGTTGATATTGACTGTCCTGATGCAAATGTGGACATGTCCACCAGGCCTTCAACCTATATGAGACCTGAACTCTATAAATAACTGTGGACAGAATAGCCTGATGCAAAGCTCCTGAAGCTGGCTCCCCTCCAGCCTCCACATCTATCCCATATTTAGGCCAGAAGTTCCCATAATGTCATGTTATATAGAATAATCAACTGAAATAATTTAAACCGCCTTTTTTCGGGTAAGTTATAGAAATTTGGGGTTACAAAATATGTCCTTTACTGGACAACATCCAATAACCTGAAAGGTGTATTATGAACTTCCAAAATGGGGCTCAGGTTGCTGTTTCCCAGACTTCCTG